TTGTCGGGGTACATTTTGTCACTCTAATTATTTCCGTGGCCACCATTTCCGGGCTGACCTGTATTTTTCCATCTAGCGTGTAAACTACTGTTGGAACTGTGGCAATGCGGAGGGCAACTATTTCGGATGGTTTCTCCAATTTTGCACTCAGTATATTCAGTGTATCTGACGCTTCCATTAGGCGATTCTTTGCATCAGAGTCTATGGCGCGTATAGCAAAACCTGTGGGGACACGGTGCACGTGTTCCACATCCGATGGCGCGCATTTGGTCTGCATTGCTATAGCTTCGCGTATGCCAGATGGGGAGAGACGTCTCCATTCGTGTGTGTCCTGTAGGCGGATGAAAAGCCGATCGTCCGCTTCTACTTTCGGCCTCGTTTTTTATACGTTCTGCGGGACCGCTGCCATCTTTGTGTTGATTCTCCCTGCATCGTTTTGCAGCCCTAATCTAGCAATTCCTGCCCATGTGTTTCCCTGGGCGCGCACCATGGGCTTGTTCTCTACTGTGGGCTTTGGAGATGGGACCCTTGGGGATATAGCGTTGGGGGAGCGATGGTGGTGTAGACTCCGGGCCCGAGTTGATAAAATGGCCAATTGCTGCACGCAAATAAGCCTTCATTGATTCGACGTTTACTTTATTGTCGCCCGTGGCCATCGGGGAGAGTACGGCCTCCACGCCTCTTATGGCCGATGTGCATAACAGAATCTGTGCAGACTTTTGTGCGACCCTTTGCTTTTCGGCTTCTACTACAGCTCTCAGCTCTTCGGGGCAGAATTCATCGCTAGCTGCAGTGCCAGTTTCGTTGGATGATTTCAGTTTGGGTTCAGGGGCTTCTCTAATTGTTGAGGCTGCCATAGGACCTGAGGCAATCGAAGAGCAACTCAGGTTGTTCTTGCTGGTGTCGCCAGTTTTCTCTGCCATTGTCAATGGCACGGTGACTTTTATCTGAGGCAGTTTCTGCTGCTGTGTAGTCGCAGTTGCTGGCTTTTTTTGAGAAATCATTGCCTTTTCAGCTCCGGTCGCCTCTGGCTTGGAGTGAATAGAATCGGGAAGTCTTTTCAGATCCCTGAGGATCTTATCAATGTCAACATCGCTAACATCTAACATCGTGTCATCTAGAGCTCTGTCGTCGACCAACCGGTCAATTTCCATTTCTTGACCAGGAGTCAGGGTACCCAGCTTGTCACGTAGTTTTCTTCGAACGGTGTGTTTGACGTAATTGCGGTTTTCTGCGATGTTTTTCGCCCGCGATGGTTTACTGCGAACTGAGGGCATTTTGACAACCTACCAGTCGCTCACAAATTTTGAATTGAGCGCGAACGATATCACGATATCAAGGGGGTGGGGAAGAGGGGGAAAGGGTGAATATTCGAATATTAGAATTTCAAAAAATTGTATATGTGTGTGTGTTTTATTGTACTACTTGGGTCTATGACTATCTAGCACATTGGGCTACTCTCTGACCCAGGCCACACCTTGCACAGTGCTCCTTGCCTCTTTTGTTACTTGAAAAATCATTGATATATTCCCCTTGATGAATAGCCATTCAGTTCAGTGTTTACCCGTGGAATTCAGCCACCTTTTCCACGGGACTTTCTACCCAAGAAAAAAAAAAAAAGGTAACAATGGAAACTGCGTGCGCGGGAAAAAGTCTCAAAAAACCTGCAGCCCCAGCCGGGCGAGGCCTAGACACCGGGACCACATGAGGTGCGCATATTCATCCATATCTCCCTTCTTTGTAACAATCGAGGCCGACTTGATCCAATCCACCATCGCCGTATCGGGTGCTGGGTACGCTCCGGAAACTCATCGGATGACTTTTCCTCTGTGATCAAGGTTTGGTGATGAGTAAGGCTCCGACCCTACCATCTGATCTGATCGTGGTTAGCTTCCTGATAGTGGTGATAGGGGAATATGTTGAGAGATGAAGACGATACAGACCGCGCAAGCGATTGGGAATCCCCATCAAAGTGAGGACTTTGTTACTCAATCACGGCTCTGCAAACTCTACAGTGAGAGCTGGATGTTCGTAGGGGACACCACTGACATGTGCTGAGAATAGTCCCCCTCTCGAGTGCAGTAAATAGTTTGGAATATGTAATTTTACAGCGTTTAAACCTACTTGGTGGATCAACCAGCGGCTGCATGATGTTGGCAAAAGGAATTCAATGGGGGTATTCTTTATCTGGATGGCGCTGCAATCGTCATTGGTGTGGCCTTGAGCGCCGAAGCGCTCACACTTGTTTTTATAGTACACATTCTGTCGGTCGGTAATAAACACGTGTACGCGTACGCAATGGGTCTCTCTCTGATGTGATGATTCTTCTTCTTCTTTCTTCTTACAGTGCCTCTAGGTTCCAAAAGGTAAAACTTCAAACTGGGATGTTTAAGGGATCAGCCCTGTAGGCGCGGCTGGGCTAGCTAGTAATAGGTTAGTATGTCTATCCTCCCTATCCCGCTCGCCATGAAGTATGGTCCAATCGTCTTCTTCTAACATTCGGTTAGAAATACAAATTTTCAACGACATTTTTGGCTTACTAACCTACATAGTCCATGAAACAACTCACCACTATCAATTCATCCTCTATTCCAGCAAACAATGTCTCTCGAAAAGTCTGCTTCAGAAACTAAAGTTCGCAAGCATCTAACTCGCGATCAATGTATTGAAATAAGAGCATTAAGAAGACTTGGCTTGACACTTCAAAATATATCCGACAAACTTGGCTTCACAATAAGACAAGTACAACTTGCGTGTGCTCGAGAGACTGGGAATTCTATGTCTCTCAAAGGACCCTTACCAAAATTAAGCGCGGAACAAGTTGATGAGCTTGAGGCTTTCGTCTGGGAGTCTCCAGAAAATCGACAGATGTGCTATCTGGAACTAACTATGGGGCCCTTCAGCCACTGGGGATGCAGTGAACGTCTAATTTCTAATGCACTCAAAAAAAGAGGTTACAGCAGATGCATTGCTCGGAAGAAGCCTCCGTTAAGCGCGGTGAATAAGCAGTAAAGATTGGAGCGATGAACAATGGAGTCGCATATTATGGACTGATGAAACCTGGGTATCGGGTGATTGTCATATGAAACCTCGTGTCACAAGAAAAGTACGTTTAAATTATATCTTAATCTTCCTTGTACTAACAGCAGAGTTTAGCCTGATGATGAGTTTGATGAGACTTGTATTGTGGCTCGCCATACTCATGGGAATAGCTGGATGTTTTGGGGATCATTTTACGGATCACAAAAAGTTCCATTCCTAGTCTGGGAGAAGGATTGGGGATCAATGAGGTCCTCATCCTTTTGTGAAAGGATTTTGCCACTTTTGAATCAATTTCACTCGGATAATCCAGAAATTCTTTACATGCACGACAACGCACCATGTTATAAAGCGTACTCAACAATTGAGGCGCTACGTGAAGTTGGAATAACGCTTATTAGATGGCCACCTGATTCTCCGGACCTGAACCCGATCGAGTCATTGTGGAATATCTTAAAAAACCACATTCAGGTAAATAGTCCTGAGACAAAAGGGGCAGGCTTGTGCACTCTGCCACGTTGAAGAAATTGCTACACGATGCATGGGACTCTACACCTTCTGAGGAGCTATCGTCACTAGTTGGCAGCATGCACGAAAGATGTGTAGCAGTGATAAAGGCAAATGGAGGGTACACAAAGTATTAGAATGGAGAAGACACACAAAACATGTAGTACGCTTTCATTTTAATTGCGAGTCATACTGAGGGCTTCGATGTAGACTTTTGTAATACAGAGCAATAATTTTTGAAATAGATGTGCACTTTTAGAGAATATCAATTGACTTTTTTCAATTTTGAATTTCAACTAAGGACTTTTGTACTTTTCCCATTGAGTTCAAAACCATCCCCATAATTTAGACTTCCACGGAATGTCATTGGATAGTACCCCTTGCTTGCTTAACTAGTCGAGTAGCTAGACATGGGCCTACATGAAGATATACCAATTAAGGCAATGTGTACAGGGATCTAACCCCAGTCATTTTGACAATTTTACTTTTGCCATCCATAAGAGACTGTAGATACAGGCGTGTCAGGCTTAAGGGCGACACGCCAAGCTACACCAATCCACGTGACTAACTATCAACATATTCTGACCTCTCTCATGACCCATGTATATCATAAAATGCTGTTGCGTCACATCCACCATTTTTATAGCATTAATCTGAAAATGAAAGTCCTTTAGCAACCTCCTTCTTTCCTGTTGGACTTGTCGCGCTCATTTCATCGCGTGAAATTCTCTGCACGAGTTCGAGGCGTATTTTTATATGGGCAGAATTGACATTATTCAGCACCAGAGCTAGGCCTAAAGTAGGTATTCAAATTGGGTGCAATAAAATTGTTGCAGTTGGTAGTTGATCTAAGCCAGCTCATCCTCTACGCCTTTACTCCTCAGAAGTGCGAAGGGTACCTGTAACTTAGCGAGTTGGAAAACGAATCAAATCAACATCGCGTTCCCGAAAAGACCCTGCATAAGAGTGTTCCCGTAGTAGTCCATGGATAGCAACGTTGATCGTCCCTAAACGTTCGGCTTTCCCAAAATAAAGATAGTTTTGGATGATGCAGGGTCCCTTGAATTTCTTTCTGCCTGCGTCTTGTGAACGAGAGTGAAGGGCAAGAATATGGCTGATATATGAAGATCAGGGCTCCATAGATTTCAGAGAAATTCGCGTTGCAGTTGACAAATCTGAATGACCGAGTGCCACGCATCGTTTTCTGGGCAAGTATGAATGGGTCCTAATTATATTGGGAAAGCAGTTGAGAGAACAGAGACTTCCCTAGTCTTGTCAAGCAGAGACTGACAATTCTCAATACGTTGAGGTTCGAGGACAAAGCTTGGGTTTACATTATTACGTACTAGCAGCTTCAGGGTTGTCCAAAGTTCGGCAGCCCAGGTTTAGCGAAGTAAGTAGACTCGAATGGTGGCTCAGCCTCGGGTTCCATTTGCCATTATAGCAGCAGCAGCATGATCACTGCCACGAATGTTGGCGCAGAGGATCAGAGGTATCACTCTCAAGATCAGTTATCTCTGGAAAACCGCACGTTGATTCCAGGAATTTTGACCACAGACATTGGGTCAGCGTCACCCTCCCATCCATCAATTGCAGACACACCAACACCGACTGGATCCTACCCGACGCCGCTGCGCCTGATTTCAGATCAGGCGCATCAGTCGTATAGTCCCGAAGAGCTGCCCTCCGAGCAGAGTTTGTCACCGACCTCTACTAGCTCCTCGCCGCTTCTTCCAGGCCCCCAGAGCTTTAATCATCAGAGTATCCGGCTCCTAGGCCACGAAAATGTCACTGGACGGGCGCATGAAGTCGACGTGCTGGCCGAACATGAACGCACGCGACCCAGGTCTAATATGCGCGCCGCATTCATGAACATGGCCAACTCTATTATTGGCGCCGGCATCATCGGACAACCATATGCAATGCGGCAGGCTGGCCTATTAGCAGGTATTGCACTGTTGGTCATCTTAACCATCACAGTCGACTGGACTATTCGTCTTATTGTCATCAACAGCAAGTTGAGTGGCCGACGCACTTTCCAGGGCACTGTAGAATACTGCTTTGGTCGTACGGGATTAGTGGCTATCTCATTAGCGCAGTGGGCGTTTGCGTTTGGAGGTATGGTGGCTTTCGGAATTATTGTCGGCGATTCAATCCCACACGTTGCAGCTGCCATATGGCCCGGTCTCAAGAGCATTCCTATCTTGGGTCTCTTGACTAATCGAAAAGCCGTAATTCTGGTCTTCATTATGAGCATAAGCTACCCCTTAAGTCTATATCGGGATATATCAAAGGTAGGATTATCCTACTATTTTCAAACAAAGAGTAGGGCTGATCAAGGTAAAAGCTAGCTAAGACAAGCACTATGGCGCTCATAAGTATGGTGATAATCCTGATGACAGTGATTTTCCAGGGATTTCTAGTCCCTACAGAATCAAGAGGTGCTCCTGATGCCTCACTCTTAACACTTCAAAGTAGTATCCTTCAAGCAATTGGGGTCATATCATTTGGTTAGTCGCTTCTCTTCCACAATTTTAATGCATGTAACATTGCTCACATATCAACAGCTTTTGTCTGCCATCACAACTCCCTTCTGATCTACGATTCTCTACAGGCTCCTACTATCGACCGCTTTTCCCTAGTCACCCATTACAGCACCTTTATTTCTATGCTTGCCTGTCTACTCATGGCTCTTGCTGGATTCCTTACATTTGGTTCCTTAACTGAGGGAAACGTTCTCAATAATTTCCCCCCCGATAACGTCATGGTTAATATTGCCCGCCTCTGCTTTGGTCTTAACATGCTCACGACCCTTCCGCTCGAAGCGTTTGTCTGTCGTGAGGTAATGGCCACATACTGGTTCCCAGACCAACACTTTAGTATGCCATTCCATTTGCTCTCAACAACTATCCTTATAACAAGTGCTATGATACTCAGTCTTCTCACTTGCGACCTTGGAATTGTTTTTGAGTTGATTGGCGCGACAAGTGCATGCGTGCTTGCTTATATCCTTCCTCCTCTTTGCTATATAAAACTCAGCACGCGCAGCTGGAAGACTATTCCAGCTATCGTCTGTGCTGTATTTGGGGTCCTAGTCATGGTTATCTCGCTTTTCCAGATCATGTCTAAAATATATCGTCAGCATGGGGGAGCAGCTAAAACCTGCTAAGTAAGCCTATTACATGGGAATGTATCATTCAAGTCTGTACCAATTTACAGAGGCAGGCACCGTGTGAAGGGGCTTTCAACAAGTAGCTTCTGCTCTTGAAACGATGACCACTACACAAGTATTTTAGTTGTGACTTCAGCGTCACGAAGCAACCCCTGGTACATACTAGCAAGTATTTGATTCCCCAGGAATGAGATTAGATGTAGTACATTAAAGCTGGTATTACTTGTGGTCACATAAACCCGGTACTTTACAAATAATTTTTGTACCAGCACTTATCTTCATGTACACTACAGCTCCGCTGCGTATTTAATACTTTGACCCACTGACGGCAGCAGCGCAAACGGTTCCTCTCGGATGACTAATTTTTTACTGCGGATATATCTCCTTGCTGAACTTCCCGCTGTAAGAAAAAGCTGGTAAGTATCCAGTAAGATGCACACACCACATTCTCTCGCAGTGATAACGTACTTGTGGAATGACGAATGCAAACTTTGATAGCCATGGGGTTTTCACGCTTTTCCCTATGGTGGGTATTCACGGAAGAAGTTAAACCTGAGTTATATCTACAAATTAAATCTTAGTAAGTGTTCCAAACCTCAAACTGAGTTATCCTTCACAAATTATATGTCTTCCGAAAAAATCTGCATAGGCCTAATGGCACCAAATCAGGATAAATAAATAGTTATTTACTCATACTCCTCGCTCGCAGCCGAGGTAGTTTGAAAAGCCACGTTGATACTAGGGATTAAGATTTAGAGCCGATTAAGATAAAAAAATCATGTCAAGTTTCCAGCTAATATGCGTCATCGAGAACCAAAATCTTAGTCACCATTTAAGCCCTGAGCGCAACCAGCAGCGTACAGCGCAGGCTGGTTACAATGATATTTTTTTTATGCATTCATTAAGTTCTCATCTCATATTAATTCATATTATTGTCTTATTTGAGTCTATGAAAATGTAGGAAATGTAGGCCCTCGTTGCCTACAGGCCAAGGATACTTATACCAGAAGTATATCCCCTCTTGTGACGGCTTCACCATCACTCATCGACAAGGGTGCCTCAGGTTCCTGTCGGCAATAGGTATCCGTCCCGTAACTAAGGGCCGTGGCACTGCGCACGGACTCTATGCGCGGAATCTTTTTTCAAATCATATAATGTATATTCAGCTATCTAGCTATGACACATGACGGGTGCTATGTATACATATTGGATGACTCTTTTGATGTTAGAGACACTCATACTCTGGATTTCATTTGCAGATACCACTATGAGGTATGCTTGTTCACAAAAACAGTCGAGCCTCCCCCGTTAGTAGCCACCAAAGGGAAATTAAAAACCTTTGGTTATCCAAGCATGCCTTCGTCATTCATGCATATCAGCGCCGCGAGAAATATGGTTGTGTTTTGCTGGATGTGGACCAGCGATCTACTGTCTCAAGTGGGATATGTGTCCAAGCTGTCCAGACTCTACTTGGCAGACCGGCGAAGACGATGTTACACCGCACCATCCAACCATGGCGGTGTTTATAGTGTCGCCTACACTCTCGCAGCCTAAGACTTGGCAAGCACAAAGCTCAATTTATAAAAACTTCTTGCCAAAATTCAAAATTCCATGCCCGTCGAGACTGTATCCAATCCTCTGCATCATCTTATCAGCTTGTCCTAATCCCTCTCATATCCATGCCAAGGAACTGTCTTCCAGATTTTTGCGCCACGCTTTACTTCCCCCGTCGGGTGTAAATATCGGCGTGGGCGTGTATCTGGCGACCAGCTAAGGCCAGAGAAAGTCGAAAAGAGGTGTGGTCATTGGAATGAGGATGTACTAGGTCGTACTTGTAAACTTGGTGAGACTTAGGTAGGAGTCAAACTCGTTAGGTGCGAAAAAACGACGTGGAGGAGTAATTTGAATCATTGCCTCTTGGGCCAACTTCTTTGATATTACGAAATCTAACTGAACTTGGCTCTGGGAGAATATTTCACTCCCAGGTTCGTAGAGGACACCGCGTTCAAGTGTTCGGTCTTGCCCTCCGCGCGTAAACAATGTATCCAGTAGTTTTCACCCACATAAGTTTCACAGATTGTACAACCTTGTCGTGATTTAGTTAAATTATACGTTCTGAGCTTTGTTGTATTATATTTAAAGTCTAGTCTAACTTCTACTGTATGCCACTTTTCGACTAGCCGTGACACTCCTATGCCTCCTATACAACTCCCCTCAAGCAGTACCACCCCTCACAAGTCCTCATTCGATTATACACTTAGAGGAGCCCATTGCTCTTCATTAGCTCCCCCCTCCAGCCAACGAAACGATGGCCATTTGCGGGTGTATGGCAGCCGGGAAAAATCGCAAAAACCACTGGTTGCAGGCTCTCCTAATACCGACATTAGGACTAAATCCGAAGATATAGTGATCCTTCCGAAACATTCGAAGAGGCCGGCCAGCTGGGCGCTGCAGACTTGTGTGTACCTCGGGAAATTTACTCTTTACCTTTATAGCATTCTAAATATTTCTCGAAAGCCGTTTTTATTATGCTACAAAAATCTTTACAGCGTGTTATTGTCATACAGTAGGCTAGGCCAACCTCTTTTGAACCATCTAGGCTGCCGGAGGGTGGTTTAAACTCATTCAAAATAGAAGCTTTTCTGGCTAACTGGCAGACACCTTGGTCTTGACGCCTAAAACCGTTTCATAGTCTAAATACCTCGAAAATATCATCTCTAGCGTGATCACGATAAATCTAAAATCTACGACTCATCGTCAATACTGGATCTATCATTCTCACGCGAGTCTTCTACCTCAGTCTTTCCACACCACCTCGCCTCAAATACCGGTAATGGCGTTACTCCAATCGCAATCGGGAATTTGCCTCATCAAAAACCAGCTATCTCCCACTACACACTTACGATGCTATGTATACCCGCGAGGAGGAGTTCAAATCACAATCTACAAAGCTCGGGTCTTGGTCTATGGGGGACCGTTGCTCTAATGGGGCTTCACATCTTGAGGAAGGACAGGCAGCTGGAACTTGGGACGAAAGAGTGAAGAGGCCACAAATGGATATGCTGGGTTTCACACTTTTAGAGTGTATTCAACTTTTGTGTATTGTGAGCACCAAGGCTACGATTTCGGATAGTACTACCGGCACTTTAAAACAGGCAACGATAGAAGCTGTTTTGGTCCGCCTCCTGGTCGTCATCTCCCCGAACTAAAGTCTGGGTAGCCTGGACACCTACCTCACTCCAGAAAGGGAGGACTGTGAGGCCATATTTCGCGCGGCGGCTACATACGAGATAGCAAAGGCATATTGGGGTAGCCAAAGGTTTTTCATGTTTTCCCTTTGGTGGATATTAACGGTTGAGGGAAGGGTGAAAGTCCCTAGCACCAAGGTCTCGAGTGGTATCGGCGAATGCACCCACTACAAGAGTAGTCCAAATGTTAAACTGACTTATCGTCGTTTATAGTCGCCGGAGAAGCTAGTCTTCTCCGTGTCATGCTCTTTGAGTGCAGGGCTTGTGGCCGTCACGAATAAATTTTCATCATCTTCATCACGATAGATCTCTTCCGTTTCGCATTCCAAGACCCAGCCGCCTATCCTTCTTGAAGCTTTATAACCCTAGTAGAGCAACAGTCCCCAATAAGCCAGACCCCGAGCTTGTATATTATAACCTAATCCCTCCTTGCGGGTGCACGTAGCGTTGAAAAATTAACAGTGGGTGATGGCCGGTAATTAGTGAGGCAAGTTCCTATTTGCATGTGAAGTAGCATCTTGATAGGTAATTTAGGCAATATTGTAAGACTGAGTTGGAGGAATCGCGTGAAAATGATAAGACAGATATTGATAAGTTGCCGGTTGTAGATGTGTTTGTGGTTCAATTCGACTTCTATCCGGGTGCGATTATATGGGCTATCTAAGATATACAGAGCTTACGGAACGATTACTCTGGCGAAAGTTGAAATGAATAATTCGTCTTAGCCAACGGAGGCATAGGGGGTTTTTTGGACTAATTACAAATCGAAGGGCATGCGTACCCATATACTCCGTAGAAGTTGAGAATCTAGAATAGCCTGAGGCAGTGACAACCTCTAACATTTATCTAAGGTCTCGCAGCGCGCTTCTTAACCGTTTGCCTTCAATTTCATTAATTAATAAATTATGGAAAAATCTCTACTGCGCAAGAATGTCTTGCAAAAGATACTCCGGCGTTCGACCATGGCAAAAAACCAAGTAGCTCGGCGGCTTGCCAAGCAGAAAGCCAAAGAAGAGCGGGATCAAAGGAAGAGCGATCGTGAAGGCGCTATCCATCACTACCGACTGCACAAAGATCTAGTTTCAAAAGAAAGGCTGGCACGAAGAGAAGACTGGGAATTGGCTGGTCTCGCGCCAAAAAGAGACGTCGGGAACCAGAAAGAAACATATGGAGCCGTAGACGGACAGTTAATTCAAGGACCCAAACTTACCAAGGAACAGTCCGAGGAGCGGATGAAAGACTTCGGAGGGCGTTTCTTGAGCCTCTTTATTGGGGATCGAGTAGTTCTTCTAGAGGGTAGGGACAAAGGAAGGATTGGCAAGGTGATTAAGATCGATCGGGATAGAGCAGAGTGTACTGTTGAAGGTTTAAATTTGGTACGGACTCTCCCCTCGTCGTACTACAAAATGGCATTTCGACCAAATGACTGAGATTTTCTCCTCAGATTGATGTGAAGCTGCCGCAGTACATGAGAGCCGCGGATCCGAATGATACTCGGGCTGTCCGCACTATCGAAAAGGCCATTTCTATCGCCTCAGTCCGTCTCGTATATCCCCTAGTCGACAGCGAGACAGGTGTCACCCGAGAAGTAATCATCAAAAGACTAGTAAATGGTCCCATATTCCACGATAAGCATATGCGGACAGCGCGATGGGCGCGTATCGTACCTGGCCTAAATATTACAATACCTTGGCCTAAAAAGGAGCCACCACAACACCAGGATCAAGCTGCTGACACGCTTCGTCTAGACGTCGATGTCAAGAACTTTGTACCAACCTTGTTAACACCTCCAATGCCGCCAAGTGTTATCGACGAGCTACGGAACAAGTATTCAAAGTTCAGGACTCGACATGACTCGGAATATATTGAGAAAAAGATGTCAGAAGAAGCAGAAAGTCTAGAGCAACTTTCTAAAGCCAAGCTCATGAGAACTCCATTAAAAGAAGCCGCTCAATTGCAGAGAAAAGTAAAAAAAGCTAAAGGCAGAGATATTTTAACGCCTGATATGTTAACGAAAATTGGTACTATCATCGCTAAAACCCGGGGCACTAGCATGCCATTCACAGAGATACCGAAAAGCCAAGACCCCCTCACGACATCATGTTGAACCGCATCTTTGAGGACAACCTAATAACCTTTATTATAGCCTGGTCCGGTGCTAGTAAGGTTCTTCATGAAAATAAGATACTTCACGTCATAAATTTTACTATGTAAATAACCAAGTTTCCTACCTGACTGACTTAGCCAAGTAGCGATATCTTTTCAAATGGGGATATAATTGGTATCTCCTTGCGCTCAAATGTCGCACTGAGGCTTTCTTGTAATACTGCATCTCCACCACGTGTCATGCCCGGTCCATAGCCGTCGACTGGTGCCTGAGAACTATCCTTAGTTTTACAACTTTCATCAAAAACATCGTTGATGACGCTCTTAAACATCTCAATTAGATCACCCAGCGCGCCTTCTATCGCACGCGCTTGTTCCAACATTTTCCGTCTTATCAAGCCTTCGACTAGCCTGCCTATATCACCCCTATTACTCTCTACTCGTTCAATCAATCTCTTCACACTTTGGACAAGATATTCTTGTTCATAAACACTTCCTTTTTTCCCTCTCGCACGTTTTCGCTCCTCTCTTTTTCGGTTTTTGCTTGTCGCACGACTTACCCCCGTCCCACATGTACCTACACTACCATCCTTTCCCGTATAACGTGTAAACAATGAACAATTTGTGCTCAATCTCGAACTAGCCGCGATACTAATATCGTCCGGAAGATCCAGCAATGCCTCAGAACGTTCACCCTCGTAGAAAGATAGTGGATTTATCATTGCTTTCTGCCTTAATTCCTTTATCCGCGGTACTTGGGCCAAAATCTGAGCCTTACAATCAGCTAATAATTCAATGCTGGATGCGAAAGCTTCATTGAGGCCCGGCTCGATCACCGAGTCTAATAATTCTGGTTCTTTCTTGAGGCTAACGAGATATAGTGCGTCTGCAAATAAGTATCCTTTGCATAGAGCCCGACAAGCCTCGGCAGTCGATGAAAGGTAGTCAAGTTGAATGATGCTAGCAGACTGATAATGTTTACTTTCTATAAGGGCATCGTATAGGGATTTCGCTAAATTGGTGAGTGCAGTTTCTGAAATTGGAGGTGACTGGGAGAGTGCAGAAAATAAAGCCTGACGCCAGTATGAAGGGCCTGAAGATATGTAGCAGTGTGTGGCCTTGGAATAGTTAGATAAAGATTCATATGCCACGGCAGCGGTCCAAAATTGGGATTTTGATTCGAGGTGAGAAGCATAAAGGGCCATTATGGCGGTATGTTTAGTAGAATTATATCGGTACAAGGCTAAGGCTTCGCAATATAAGTTATGTTTCTGTGCATATGCTTGCAGCTCGGTAAACTCATCAAGAGCGTGTAAGTGAGCCAGTGCTTTGCCATAAAGTCCGAGGTGGTCGTCGATTTCAAACTGCCGACGAGCAGTGCTCATCTTTTGTAGATTTTGTAAAAAAGGGAGATATTCCCGGGGATCTTTCTGCGATTGTTGAGCGATAAGTAAAGCCAATTCTAGATTATAAAGTCCGAGAGCAGCATCATAGAGCTTATTGACATCTGCCAAGAAACAGATATGTTCAATGGCCTTCTCTACCAAATCTGGCGATTGTTCCATTAGCCGTGCCACAACAAGAAGCCCATCATTTAATGCTGGTGGTAGTTTGCAAAGATTTGCTGTGATAATATTTTGAACGCTTTGAGCCTTTCGATCACTAAATATTGTTAAGAAAGCATCACAAATGCTATTGACCTTCGAATAATTTTTAAGATCGAGTAATTTTGGTTCCTGTGTAGCTTTATTTATGAAAATATTATCCTGAGAACCTAAAATTTTCGTATCTTTGTACATTGTCTGAGTGACATCTTCTTCTCTGGGATAAGAAGTTAGTATTATCTACAGAGGTTTTGGGGCTCTACCTTAATGATGACAAAAACAAGTCTATGTAGGCGGGTTTTTTAACCTGATCAATGAAGATTCCAGCGTTTGAGAGGAAAAGTTTCGGGGCTTGATCATAGATTATATTCATATCAACCCTTTGAGTTCTACAATGCAAAAATGCTTTTCTGAAATTTTTTTCTTCTACCAACCTACGGATTTCAGCGAGTACCATGGCTCGAGGAAAGATTGTCTCTAAATTTCCTCGAGGCATCTGAAGTATCACTTTCATTTCTGCCGGTATAGCTAGTAATAGCTGGGCTCCTCGTTCAATTCTGCGACAGCGTTCGTCCGTTTCGGTGTCCTCTTGAGGAATCTCAAGATCTGTACCGAATCAGCACGTAAAAAATGATATGAACGAATACCTACTCTCCAAGAGCGTGATGTGAATAAACTTGATTACATGTGAAGTGGTTGTGAAGATAAGATGTAATGGAGTAACGAAGAAAGAAGTGCAGTTTTTAACCAATAAACGTGAATTGGCATATAGATGCCCGTTACTAGACATCCCGAATGCAATTATTTCATTCCCAACTGGCATAATTTCGATGCGAACAAAATTACGTGACAGTTCATGTCCATTGATTACCTTATCTCCTTGTGTCAAGATTCGAACATCACCATTGCTATCTTGAGTAAAAATATACACACCATTGTTCATCTTGAAGCTTGATATGTTTGTAATTATTAACGGAGGTCCGGATGTTGCATCATTTATTCCGAGTACCTCTTTGATGTAACCATCGTTATCAAAGCTATACCTTATGACAGAAGTTACGGACGCTTTTGTTTGAAGTAGTGCCGCTTCGTTTTTACCTGCCGATGTAATCTGAAGAAACTTGGAGTCTGGATCATCAGGTCTTGAAAAGGTGAATTCTTTCTTAAGTTGTGGGCTATTGGATAAAGTAGCTATGTTACACCATTCATAACACGAAATACCTTTTTGATGCAAGATTGTGAATGTTTGTGCATTATCACCAAATGCGATATCTATTACATTAGCTGGTACCTCTATTTCATGAAGGGCCATAGGCGGTGGAACATTTGCATATCGAAAAGGTGTGATTTTGACGATTTTACCGTCGACTACAGCAATAACTCCGTGTTCTTGAGGAAAGGTCGATGGCGCGTGACTAATGGTGAACACAAAGTCATTGACAAATATCGATGCTGGAGTTCGATTAGAACAAGCGTGATGATACGCGTCTATTTGGAACTTACATTTAGATAAAATAGTAAGCTTCAACGGTCTTTCTGGATGCCAAACCAATGGATACGTCGGTAGCGGGTTGTCGAAGGAAATTTGTTGTTTTAGATACCAGTGAAAGTTTCCCATCATCCATAGCTCTATATGATTAGCCAATACCACTGCAAGAACTGTAGAATCTGAGTTCCAAAATAAATCAAGAATTTGATCAGAGGAATGGATGTCTGTGGATATCAAACGAAGGCTAAATTGGCCATGCCTCAAACCATTACGCTCAAAAAATACTACATCCACGCGATCTTGGATTCTCTGTATGCCTGAGATGAGATTCCCGGTAGGCCTCCAACTTAAAGGTCCTTCTAATCCATCAACTGGCTCGCTGACGCTTTCGAGCGAGCCATCTCGGGAGTAAACGCGGATTACGCGCCTCTTGTTGTCCTGTATAGATGACACAGCCACAAAAGCGCCATCACCTCTCCAACTAATTCTATGCTTTGTATCATCTTTAGGACTGAGTGTTCCTTCGTCAATTTTCTCTGGTAATGTTGGATCTTTCAATGCTTTAGCGCCTCTGCCTTGGAATTGAGTTTCTTTCTTTCCCCACCCGACAGAAACCTGATATGATTCGTTCAGGTCAGTGCTAGACATAATGATGTCCACTACCCCATCAAAGTTTCGGCTCATGAAGACTATTGTGTCTGCTTTTGTCATAATAGCCAAGAGTTCTTCATCTGGAGACCACCTTGCTGCAGTGATACCTTCATTGATCGAGCCAACAATTTCAACACTGCCCTCTTCTATGGATGGATTTTCCCTGACGATAACGACATCACCACCAGCAAAAACAAGACAGGTTGTCGATATATCTCCGAAGTAATGAATGTTGAGAATCTCATCATGCAATAACTCGGGATTTGGGCAAGGAGCTTCCCATGAAGCAATTTTTAAGCTTACACTGATACACTTAGCAAAATGAAAAAATCTATATAATATATACGTACGGAGGATTAGAAGATAGATTGATTCTTCTGAGTTCCACCACCGGATCGTTTTCGTTAGGTCCCAGGCAGCAAAGAAGCGAATTGTTCGTAGTATCCCATGCAGAAGACGTAATAGAGCGACCATGAAGCGAACTCCATTGCTGACAGCGTGTGTGTCTTAGATTTTTCATCGTGAGACTGCCACCATAAATGGCATCATCGGTATAAACTTACAGTATGTGGTTTATGAATTGTTATCACATGATATTCGCTTAATGAAGTCGCGAGCGGGAGGGCAAGACTGAACACCTGTACGCGGTGTCCACTACGAACCTGGGAGTGAAATATTCTCCCAGTGCCAAGTTCAGTCAAATTTCGCAATATCAAAGAAGTTGGCCTACGAGGCAAAAATCCAAATTACTCCTCCACGTCGTTATTTCGCTCCCAACGAGTTTGACTCCTATCTTTGTCTCATCGAGTCTACAAGTACGACCAAGTACATCCTCATTCCAATAACCACACCACTCTTCGACCTTCTCTGGCCTTAGCTGGTCACCAAATACACGCCCACGCCGATATTTACACCCGACGGAGGAAGCAAAGCGTGGAGCACAAATCTGGGAGACAGTTCTTTGGGATGGACGTGAGAGGAATCAGGACAAGTTTGCAAGATCATGCGGAGGGAGGATATAACCTCGAAGGGCGTGAGATTCCGAATCTTGGCAAGGAGCTTTACGAATTCAGCTTTGTGCGCGCCAAGGCTTCGCTTGCGAGAGTGCAGCTGACACTATAAAAACAAGCCGACGATGGAAGGTGTTGTGATCCGCCTCCTGGTGATGTTCTCTGTTGTAGTTTGAGTAGCCTGGGCACCTACTCCACTTGGGAAGGAGATATCTCAGGCCATATTTCGCGCGGAGAAAATTTGAAAGATGATGGAGGCATGTCTGGATAACTCAGGGTTTTTGAGACGTTCCCCTGGGTGGGTATTCACAGATGAGGGTTGACTTGGGGTGAAGAAAAAGCCACCATAACTTCGCAGTGGTACTTGCAAATGAAATCAGAGGCATGAGTGCTCCTATTATAAACTGAGTCATCTTTTCTGTACTTTTCTCTGATATTGTGTCATAGCTAGATAGCTGCATACGCAATTAAAATCTGATGCAAAAAAAAAAAAAAAAAAAGAAGTCGCGAGCGCACCCGCCACATTTTTATAACAGCCTTACTTCAGTGATTCATCCCCGCTGATAGATACTACAAGTATACATAAAGCTATTAGAATTAAATTTGAATATTAATATTGGATGCACTGCACCATCACAGGCATACTGTTTCCAGTAAAATATCTGATGGCTTTTATGTTCGAAGTGAAAACTTTGGGGACGGAAGACTGAACCTTGTGCTCTAATTGGGTTGTTTACAGGGCTGACAATCCAATAAATCAGGTAATCGGGAGCTATGGGATAGGCATTGGTAACCTCTAACCGCTAGTGGACAAATATAAGGTTATAATACAAGGGTATACTCATGAAACATGCTTTTTGAAGCATGCAATAGCAACACTGACCAGTACTCCAAACTACAGTGCCTCTGGGATATAAAATGTTAACCTCGAAACTGGGATGTTTAAGGGATTAGCCCTGTAGGCGCGGCTGGGCTAGCTAGTAATAGGTTAGTATGTCTATCCTCCCTATCCCGCTCGCCATGAAGTATGGTCCAATCGTCTTCTTCTAACATTCGGTTAGAAATACAAATTTTCAACGACAATTTTGGCTGACTAACCTACACAGTCCATGAAACTTCTCACCACTATCAATTCATCCTCTATTCTAGCAAACAATGTCTCTCGAAAAGTCTGCTTCAGAAACTAAAGTTCGCAAGCATCTAACTCACGATCAATGTTTTGAAATAAGAACATAAAGAAGACTTGGCTTGACATTGCAACATATATCCGACGAACCTGGCTTCACAAGAAGGCAAGTGCAATTTGCGTGTGCTCGAGAGATAGAGAATCCTAAGCCTCGCAAAAGATGCTTATCTAAATTAAGCGCGGAACAAGTTGATGTGCTTGAGGCTTTCGTCCGGGAATCTGCTGAAAATCGACAGATGTGCCATACGGAACTAGCAATGGGGCTCTTCAGCCACTGGGGATGCAGTGAATGTTTAATTTCTAATGCACTCAAAAAAAAAGGTTACAGCAGATGCATTGCTCGGAAGAAGCATCCGTTAAGTGTGGTTAACATGCACGAAAGATGTATAGCGGTGATAAAGGAAAATGGAGGGTTCACAAAGTATTGGGATGGAGCAAAACTACACAAAACATGAAGTACGCTTTCATCTTAGATGCGAGCCTCACTGAGGGCCTCGATGTAGACTTTTTTAATACAGAGCAATTATTACTGAAATAGATGTGTATTTCTAGATAATATCAATTGATTTTTTTATTTTTTTATTGGAAAGCCGCAAATATTATTACAGATGAGACAACTGGCAGAAATAGGATTACATATAGAAACACACCCTCAAACATCCACCGAAACCTTAGTAGGGACCAAAGCAGTATTGCAGTTCAGATAAGAAGTGAGCACATTGGTCTTAATTCTTATCTGTATCGAAGGAAAGTTCCCGGTGTGATTGATCCAAAATGTCAGTGTGGATATCCGTCTCAAAATGTCAAACTTATGGTCTTGGCGTGTCCTCAGTGGGCAATGGGAAGAGGAGAGGTGCTTCGAAAAGCAAAAGACAGGTCATTTGCGGCAATGATGAAAAGCCCAGATGACATAGAGAGAATTACAAAATGGATCCTGGCAAAAGGCTGGTTTGAACAATTGCGGCTTGCAGGAGAAGTAGAAATAGCATTGGACGAAATGATGAGACGATGTGGACAAGGATAAGACGGATTTCACACTGTATAACCAGTGTAATCGCACTTCCTGTAGGAAACCTCAGAAACAAAATAGACACGAGACAGACAGTTGTAGGGGGTTTTTACCGAATATGGTTTCCTCCTGTGTAAATATTATAGCTAGTTATACCTGAACGGGCTAAATGAAATCAAATCAAATTGATCTTTTTTTTAAATTTTAAATGAGAACCATTGTACATTTCATTTAGAGTTGAAAACCATCCCCATAATTTAGACTTTCACGGAATATCATTCGATAATAACCCTTACTCACTTAGCTGGTCAAGTAACTAGACATGGGCCTGCATGTAGACCATACCAATTAAGGTAATACTTACAGGGATCCAACCCCAGTTATTTCGACAATTGTACTTTTGATACCCATAAGAATTCGTATAAACACTGGGCCTGTGAGTGGGTAATTATTGTCCTAAAAAGTCTGTAACTATGTAAGGAAATGAAGGTCCTTTCTGCCTACAGGCCGGGAGTATCTATGGCTCGGGTAGTGTACTCCCTCCTTTGCTTCCTTCACGACTTCTTTCCAGCAGGACCACCCATCACAAGTACTCATTCGATAATACACCTAGAGGAGACCTTTGCCCTTCATTATCTCCCATCTCCGGCCAACCAAACGATGGCCATTTGCAGGTGTATGGATGCCAGGAAAAGTCTAAAACCCCACTGGATGCGGGCTCTCCTATGACGAAGAGGCCGGCCAGCCGGGCGCAGCAGACCTGTGTATACTTAAGATCGTCTCTCATCCTTCCTCTTTCCCTAATTCATGCCGCAGGACAAACTAAAGGTCGTGAAAGGATGTCAGAAAAGTCTTGGTCGAGAGTGACTATCGTGAAGGAGCCTAGCCTAGCATCCAAAAGTCGTTACGGACGTGGGGTTGTCGAGTAACCCATGTATTTCAGATGCCCTCCTGGCTAGTAGATTCGGAAGATAAGATTAGTAGGGACGATATTGTTGACGAGTCGAAATCTGCTTTTCTTGAGGGCGGAAGGGTCTTTTACTTTGCTTTCGTGAGCTTTTTGTTCGCCCGCCGGTGGGTAGCACATGTTGCGATATAACGAGGGCTTCTCAGGATACCGTTATAGCGTTTGGTACCGCATTATCTTTCCTCATCTCCAGCATCATTATCGTCGTCTTGGTCGTCTTATGTGTTATCGGAAGCGTACCTTTGAGGGAGGGGGAGATAAATCGGCTTAAAGTTGATAAGGTGTTACTCAATCTCAGCTCTGCAGACTTTACAGTGAGAGCTGGAGGTTCGTAGGGGACACCACTGACAGGTGTTCAGCCTTCGTCCTATATGACACGGGTCATAGTGATGTATTTAATACAGCATATGTTTCAATTTGACTCATAAGTTGACAGATTACCCGTTATTCTTTGTTTAGGCTCACCTGCGTGCCCAGCCTCGTATCCAACAATGAGTGGCAAAAGGCTCAGCCTTTCACACTGAGCGAAATTCATTGGGGGGTTTTGCAAGGTATTGTCAGGGTCCACTTTGTGTTGGCAGAATCCAGGTACATCATTCTTTCCCATAGAGAAATAACAATCTTTTCATGTTATTCTTTGCATGCAGTAACTGCTTGCCTTAACCGCTAACGCTTACGGTCAAGTTGCCTTCTGCACGCAACATTTTCTTACTGTTATTCTTAATCTAGGTATTAAATCTTTCCCTGTGAAGACCATTTCGAGTCTGTACTCGTATCGGATCACGACGAACCCTCGCCGGCAAAGACTAATTCCTTACTTCCAGTGGTGCTGGCGTAGTCGCTTTGTATACTCTGCATATTTGGGATAGCCAAGAAGAATTGCGTCCGAATCGAAGTCGAAAGCAAACACACGCGTATCACCATTTGACGACTTCTCATTCATGCCAGACTCACCATTATCTTCTGAGCCCTCAGCATCTTTCTAACCACATGTGACCTCGCCTCAACGATCGACAAAGGCGCCACTCTAATTGCAAACAGGAGCTTGACTCATTCTTTACTGTCCATTACCCACTGCAAATTTATGACGCTACGTATATCCGCAAGGAGCAAATGAAGTCATAACATACAAAGCTCGGATCATGGTCTATCTAGGACTGTCGCTCTAATGGGGTTATACATCTTGAGGAAGGACAGGCGGCTGAGATGTGGAGCGAGAGGTGGAACAGATTTCTGAAAACCATGCTGGGACCGATATTTTCGAAGAGTTTTCAACTTTGGAAAACTAGGGGCGCCAAGACCGAGATTTCGGTCATTTAGCCACGAGAGCTTTTTTTGTCGATGAGTC